CGCTCTTCCCAGCAAGCAGAGCAGCTCTGGCCATTCCCGGTGACTGGAAAACCAGTGGAAACCAGCTGAACTCAGTGGGGGAAATGGGGGAGGCCAGAGTGGGGGCAGGAGAAGGTGCCGACAGCCTTTCGGGCAGCTTGCCTTTGAGGGAAGAGGGCTTTCCAGAGTTGGTGAGAAGGGAGTCGGGGAGAGGGGATGCCAGGGAAAGGGAGATGAGGACAGGCGCCGAGCTTGCTGCACCAGAGGCTGGCAAACACGGTGGGCTGCCGGATGGAAGTGCCATGTGTCCAGCCGATGGATGGGTGGCCAGACACGGGGTCCCCTTGCCCACTGGAGGAGAGGAGCACACAGATGACCCTTTGCCCCAAGAATCACGAGTTTCTCTGGCACGAAGAAATATGCTTGGCCAGAGGGAGGGAAGGCAGTGGGAGGGCAGGGCTCAAAGGGCCTGCACTGGCTTTGGGTACAGCCAGGCTGGAGACGCACCAGGGGCAGAGGAAGGAGGAGAAAGGGAAAAGAGGGGACTAGAGGTAGAAAAAACTGAGCAGGCCTGCCAGAAACCTGCCGTCCAGGTAGGGTTTGGCACCAGCTGCCTCCCTCCATCTCCCAGTACAGGAAAAGGCAGTGTCTGCTGCCTGGGAAGCAGCCAGGGACAGCTGAGGACCCGGAAGCACGGGCTTGTGTCACCGTCACGGCTAGGGGACGAGTAAGGAGAGAGAAACACTTTCCTCCTCCTATGTCTTCCTTTGGTAGGTTCACTAGGCTGAGAGTGTGGAGGGGGCCAGGCCTCTTCTCTAGTAGCCCCCTTTCCCCCCCCTCTCCGACAATGCTAGTCCCGGCACTGTGCAAGGGTCCTCAGGGCAGCTCAGCTATGCAGGGGACCCAGGGCAGCTTTCTTCTCCGTAGATTAACCCTAGCAGTACACCATGTGCCCCACATCATGCAGACACTGCTGCTGAAGGGCACAGTCCCCACTTCTAGTTTTGCAATGGGTCCCATGTATGGAGGGAATGGAAAACAGGGAACTAAAGGGTTGTAACTCGCATAAGACCCTCTTCCAGGGTCACATACCTTCCTAGGGAATTCACAGACAGGCTAGAAATGGGGTCACTTTTCTCTCCGTATGACCCTGAGACCTCAGCTGTGCTGCAGGGGGACAGCAGGGCTCACACCAATTGTTTTCCTTGAGTCTCAATAGAGCCCTGGCCAGTGGCTATGGATGGGCTTATGCCAGAGAGGAACTTTCTCCTCATTTGTCCCCCCATCCCAAATTTGCCACGTGTGCGGCCCATCCCAGTCTCAAGGAAGGACACGCGGCCTGCATGTGCAGGAGACAGAACCAGGCACTGAGAGCCAGGGAGGTGAAGGCCAGCGGGAAGCAAAACTGCCACCCGTCCCTGTGCTCCCCTGCCACCAAGGGAAGCAACCAATGGTGCCCAGAGCCACGAGGGGAGGTTTGTTTTCCCTCCCCCAGGCATTAACCCCTGGCAGATAAGAGGGGCCCTGGGTGAGCAAACAAGGCCAGGGCAAGGCAAAACACATGTAGCCAGCCAAGAAAGCAGTGCTCCCCCTCGCCTGAAGCTTTGCTCTCCCTGGCACTGGCCGCCCGCTTCAAGGTGACCTGCGAACACACAGGAGAAGCAGGCAGTGTAGCAGGGGTGGGACGGATGGAGCCACGTGGCCGGGGGGCTCCAGCACACAGTAATCGATGGATGCTAGGTTCATACATCACCTCTTGGCATGCTCCTCTCAACAACCAGCCGTGCTGAAAGGATCCAGCTCCATCCTGTTCTCCCAGCCTCAGCCTCTGAGAGCCACTGAGGCCCCACAGCCTTCAGTGACCCATTGACTTTTTTCCTGCAGTGTCAAATTCATGCCCAGGAAGGGGACTTGGATCACCGACATGCTGAGGTGCCCCAAATCCTGAGGAGACAATTCTCTCCTTTACAGCTCCTCCAAGTCCCCTTTCTCCCTCTTGCCACGCACACCCCCCGGGCTCTGCTGATGTGAGCGTCCTCCTCGCTGACCCACTCCAGCAGAGAGGCCATGTAGCCGTCCGGTCATTGCCCTGCTGTTGCATGCCTAGTCACTGCTTCTGCGCTTGTCCTCCAGCGCTGCTATCTCCCAGACCTGCCTGAGCACAGGGACCTATCCTACCTACTCTTCTGGCCTTGAGCAATCCATCTCCCTTTGGCATGCCTCAGTTTCCCTGCCTGAAAAGCAGCCTGCTGCTCTCCCCTGCCTGCCCCTTTACACCTCAGGCTCCGACTCCATGCTGCTGCATTCAAGTTCTGACAAAGTTTGCCAAGCACTTAGGGATCTGAGGAGGGAAACAGCCAAAGGAGGATAAACAAACCGATATACAAATATTGCATTTCCCCTCCCCGCCACCCCTCCTCCCTGAGAACTACCCAGTCCCCAGGCCTCACCCTCTCCTGAAGGGTTCGGCTGAATAGCAAAAATGAGGGAGAGGTTTTTCACTCTGGGAGCACACACAGCTGGGCAGGGCAAGGCCCCTGCCTGTCTGGGAGGAGGTACCATCTGGGAATTGGATTTCAGCTTAGGTCCAAGCAATAGGCAAAGCCAAAGGGTCTGAGAAGTACAGCAGGGGATGATTTGGAGGGCACACGTTTGGGGGAAGCCTTCTTCTTCCACCTCAAGAGGAGGACACGTGCACTGGCTTTAACCTCCCTGCCTTCAGGACCACCCAGCCCAGCCAGTCTCTGGGTTACACCTCTCTTGCAGGCAGCATAATTAGGAAAATCCTCTCCAGGGGCTTCACCTTTTCTTTTGTCTTGTTTAGGCTGCTTACAAGGGGATCAAGGCAGTTGCCCTGCTATCCCCCCCACTCCAGCTCCTGTGACCTGCTGCCCCATCTGTGAACCAGCTCCCACACTCCCAGCAGGAGGAGGCGGAGGCAACAGAAGACAGGAGACAGTGGATTAGCCCTAAGCCTGCAGCTTTGTTTGCTGCTAGCCAGACGCAGCTTCCGGCAGCAACAGCAGCACCTGGGGTGACCACAGACCCCCCTGAGACACCTTCGCACCACCATCCTCACCAGGGAGGTGGTGGCAAGAAAACAAGACTCCCCTCCTGGGAGGAGTTACATGACCAGCCAGAAGTCCCTTGCACCACTCACTGGGGCAGCTTCTGGCAGCCAACAGATCTGGGACATACACTCTGCGGGTAATTTCATAACAGTGCAGAGAAACCGGGGGATAGGCAAGATTCCCACCAGCCACTCTTAAAACCAAGGGACCATAACGTGAGCCGTGCCTCCATGCCCCTGAGAGCACCAGGGGCAGGAGCAAGGGTGATGGGGAGGCCAGGGATGTGACAGGCTGCCCTGGTGTTGGAGGCCCAGTTAAGGCTAGTTTCTTGGGCTTTTAAAAGTGTGGGTGCACGTGGGCAACAACAGGGTGCAATATGAGCCTTGGAAAGCTCCCCGTGATCAGCTGGGTGTCAGGCTCCCATGGCAAGCGGCGGCTGAAGTCAGAGCTGACCCCAGATATGATCAGCCCACCGTTGGGGGACTTCCGGCACACCATGCACGTGGGACGTGGCGGGGACGTCTTCGGGGACACCTCCTTCCTCAGCAACCACGGTGGGAACGACACAGTCAAAGCCAACAACTTCTTCACCCGGACACTGCGGCACGTCCGCCGGACACCGCTAAGGAGCCGGGGCAGTGAGAGCCAAGCCGAGACATCACCCGCCCCCCCGGCTGTCTCACCCATCATCAAGAATGCCGTGTCACTGCCGCAGCTCAATGAGGGGATGTACGACGGGGGCAGCAACGGCGGGGGGGGGGTGGCCAGCAAGTTCTCCTTCAAAAGTGCTTCCAACAGCTTCTCCAAAACACACCAGGCCTACGGTGAGTGAAGCATAGGGCAGGGGTGAGTTTCCAGCTACGGGGGCTGGCTCTAAGACACTGCACTTCCTCTGCATCCCCTCTCCAACACACAATGCCTCAGTTTCCCAATTCAGGGACAACCGTCACCTTTAGGCTCTCAACAAAGACAGGATCCTTGAGAGTCTCCAGCCCTGGTAAACCTTACAAGGAGTAACTCTAATCTTGTTTTCAACTGCTATCCTTGCTGCTGCTCTTTGAGTGTCGCCTGCCAGCATGCCCCCAGGGTGGGGCACAAATGTTTCTCCTCTCTGGTGCCAGCCCAAGCCAGGCAGGCAGCACTCTCTCCCCATAACCCACATTCTGCTGGCAGCCTGTGTGAAGCAGTTATAAGCAGATGCCCCTCACATTCCCCCAGTCCTATGCTTTTCTCATGGGCAGCCTCCCTGGTGAAGCCAATAGGGTGCTGGGACAGTGGGGCAAATGCTAATGTACCGAGGCCAAGGAGGCCTAATACAGGTCCTTTCTCTAACCTACCAACCCCTCCATCTCCACATGTCTCTCATGGGTCTCGGTCCATTCCTCTCCTATGTGCCCACATCCCTCTCTGCTGACTGTGGTCCAGGAGGGACCCTTGAAGAAGGCTTGCAGGAAGGATGGGATGGGACATCAGGATGGCTCTTTTCTGGCCTCAAAACACTAGGCTGAGGCTCAGCTTTTCTTCAGCGAGGGAGGTCTGAAGCAGAGGGTCTCAGGAGGGTCTGGGGGCGCCTGTGGCAGCCCAGGGACATGGCTCAGCTCCAAGGAAAGGCAAGCTGAGGCAATGCTGCCATCTCCTGGTCTCACCTGCACGGCTCATCCCCCACTAGCATGTTACCAAACCTGGTATCCACCTTGAGACCTCCACTGAAAACTCTGGGCTTTGGAGAAGTCCACACAGATCTGGCCATCAGTGCTGGGAAACAATCCCTGAGGTGCAGCAGTGTGATCCCTCTGTTTGTTGGACCTGGTGAGCCTAGGACTAATGGGGCAGTAAGGGATGAAACCTGGCCTTTCCTTGCCAGGCTAGAGCCACGGACAAGACCGTAACATGTTCCCAATTTAGTGGCAGGGTCCCTTGTCCTCACAAGACCTAAAACAGACCTCCTCTTAATAGGATTTCTTAGCTGTGGCCCTCCCTCATCAGCTGTTCCTTGTGCCTTGCAGGGCTGGAGTCTGGATTTTGCACCATCCCTCGTGTCCCTCGCTTGGAAAAGGCCCAAGAGAGCACCTTCCCTGGCGAAACAGAGCTCACACGTTCAGACTCCCTGCTCTCCTTCCGCCTGGACCTGGGGCCCTCCCTCATGAGTGAGCTCCTCCAGGTGATGAGCTTCTCCGAAACCAATGGGAACGAGGCAGGGGACGATGGCCAAGACCTGCCTGGTGGGCACATTCTCCTGCATGGTGAGGGGTCTGAGGACAGAGTCCCTCTGGGATCAGGCACAGCCCATGGAGAAGGGAAGGCAGCATCCAGCTTCTGGGACCACACTGGGCAAACTAGCCTGTCCGGGGCCAGCTCATTACTAGGACTGACTGTCCATGCCAATGGAGAGGCACATGCTATTGAGCACATAGGAGAGGATCCTGCCAAAGTTAGGGGCTCTGGCTGGGCTTCGGGGCTGGCAGAGGGGCCAGAGGCAGTGTCCAGAGGGACCCTGTGGCAAGGGCACTGGAATGACTGCACCATAGAGGCGGGAGAGTTTGACCGAGCAGCCCAGGTCCTGGCTCGCCATTATGGTGGGACGAGCACCCCACGTAGCTCAGAGGAAAAGGACGAGGGTGCCCGGCAGGCCCGGAGGCAGGCCTTGTGGGAGAGCCCCAGCAGCAGCTCATGGCGGTCACAAGTGGCAACAGACAGCCAGTCCCTGGAGGCCCCATGGAACCAAGAAGAGGAAGAGGAAGAGAATGAGCTCTCAAGCCTGCAGGAGGGGGATGCTGGCACCCAGGACGGCCGCAGCAATTCCTTCGAATATGCTGATGAGGAGGAAGAGGACGATGAAGTCAAGGTGTGAACAGCTATCCCTTCCATCAAGACCCCCATCCAAAGACACCAATGCTATGGTCTTCACCCTCCTCCCTATCCCCTTCCCTTGGATGCCAGCTCCGTAAGAGAGCTGATAACAGACTCAATGGGCGAACTCCTGGCTGAGTCATGCTCCTCTGGAGACGCGTGAAGCTGAGGGCAGTGGGGTACAGGAAGGGGAGGGGGTTGAAGAGGGCAGTCCATCTCCCAAAGGGCTCCCCAGGGCTGGGTGAGGGTGCCGTGGTGAGCCAGTGAAGACCCGCTCTGCTCTGTATCGCAGCACTGGGTGTTGCGGCAGGGAGAAACGGATGCTCATAGCCCTCCCCCCGCCAGGCCTCATTGTCATTAGATGCCAAAGGAACATTCCAATATGCCAAAGAAACCCCAGATCCCTTCCCACGCCGTTCAACATCCCCCAGGCAAACAAACACTTTGCTCAGGAAAAGGAAAGGTGACAGAGAGCAGACAAAAAGAGAGACTCTAGACACAGGGCTCGTTCCCCCTACGTAAAACCCAGCCCTGGAGAGGCGGTGAGTCAGGAGTGGGCTCCGAGACAGTCATGCCGGGACAAAGCACCACAGGGAGCCGTCTCGGCTCTGAAGGAGGCAGTAGCCCGTGTGCAATGCTCCCAGGCCAGCAGCACCAGCCAGCTGGCGCCCCCACCAGGGCAGCGACACCGAGCCCACTCCTGGGGTGCCCAGAGGGTAGCAAGGCCTTCTCCTGCCTCACAGAGACCCCCTCCCAACCCACACCAGCGCCCTCCTCCCTCGCACGACTGTGGTACCACATACAAAGAGAGGGACCTCGCCCATCCCTCAGCCTAACCCAGCTCGCACACCTAGGACATGCTCCATCCTCCCACCAAAGCCCCCTTTGTGCTGGCAAGGTTGCCTTCATGGAGATATTCCCATCAATATGTCTCGCACGTAAGGGAAGCTGCTCTTCCCAGCTCTGGCTAGTGGAAGACCCTCCCATAGAGCACATATACCTAACTTATGTGTGCCCTGGGGAGGTCAGCTGGAGGCTCAGGGGCCAGACAAACATACAGAGCTGTGCCTTCCCCTCCAAAAAACCATGAGCTCAGTGTTAAAGAAGGCAAGACTGTTCACAAAGATAATTGCAGGGGGCTTTCCGTTTGCCTCCTGCTGCTGAACGTCACTTAGGAAGTCTTGTTTTCTAACCCCTGCCCTCTTGCAGCAGGAAGAGGGAAAGACTTCTCGCCTTGCAGATGCAGAGGTGAGATTGTCAGGTCCTCACATTCTGTAGTTTGGGCCCCAAAAATCTCAATAGTCATCTCCAGTCATCAAGATTAAGAAACATTATGTTAGGGCCCTCCCACCACTGGATTTCCCTCCCATCTCACAATAACCTAGCCTGAGTGATACCCTTCTCCAGGCACACTCTTACCCTTCCTTTCACCCCATCTCAGAAAAAGAAGACTCTCTGCAGACACTTGGCTAGTGGAGATCTGGGCTGTCTCTTTTCCCTTTTCTCCCCCTCTCCCCATTTCCTACTCACACACCCCTCTTTCCAGAGTGCCTCCCTCAAGGGGTATTTGCGGATGGTTGAGGCCTCTAATCGAGTGTCTCAGGGCAACACGGCCTTCCTGGAACAAGCTGCCCCCCACGCTGTCCCACGTGCAAAGCGACGCTCATAGAAGCGCCTTTGTGCTGCAGCGTGGAGCCGAAATGCTCGGGGGCTGAGGTCACTGAAGGGACCCTCACAGGACTGCCCTTGTTCTCTGGGACAGAAGTATGTGTGTGGCAGGCGGAGATACCAGGCCATCGCCAAAGGGCTCCGTTCCCACACAGCTCACCCGCTGCCTGGTCCTTCTGCAGGCTGCTTCTGTCAGGGAGCACTTCTAAGCGTAATAAAGAGCCTCCAGCGTGTGCACGTGTGTTGTGCGTGGAAGCAGCATGTCTGAGTGACCTCAGTCAGGTCATCGAGGTTATGCGCAACTGATCTCCCCCACTTCCAGAGGCAGCTGCCTTGCACCAGCAGGCAGCAGCAAGCTGGGGCAGTCAGCACTTTCAAGGAGTCCTCAGCTCCAGCCACTGTCACCCAGCAAGGCCTGAGGTCTACAGCCTTCACCACCCCTGCGCCCTCTGTTGGGTGGACCCTGGCTCTCAGGATGAGGTCCCCTGCCCTCTTCCTGGACCATAACACAAGCTCCAGACCAAAGACCCACATCTGTGGGAAATCCTTTCTGCCTCCACTCTGTATCCCATGCACTTATTATTGTTCTTATTAAACCAGTTTTGATAGTAACTTCTCCTCTGGTGCCTCCTCCTCAAGCCTCCCCACAGCTGCAGTGACCCAGCAAGTTTAACATCTTCTCTTGCCACATCTGCCCACATTCCAGTCCCAGCCCCAAAATCACCTTGTCTCTGCACTCAGGGCTCACAAGGAAGTGGGATTTGCCAGCACCACCACAGGGATGCTTGGATTACCTATTCCAGTACCTTGCCTCTCCCTGTGACTAATACACAAAGCAACCCTCTCTTCTATTCACCCAGCACTGTGTAGCATACAGAAGAGTGAAAAGTTTCCTCTCCAACTCAGCAACAGTTAGTTTGCACCCTGAAGCAAATTGTTACCATTCCCAGAACTGGCTTGGCCACAGGCCTTCCAATCCTTCAGAAAACCTCTGCCCAAACACTCAGGCAGCAGTTAGTCACATAGGCTGGGGTACACTGCACTCATGGTTTGTTTTGCACTAACCAGCTGCTGCTTAGACTGAAGGAGCAGCATGGAAGCACAGAGGAACGGCAGCAGCATTGCAGTGTCCTTTTAGGTTGAAATTTCCATTAAATGCTCTTCTCTTCTACTCTCATCCCACCCAATCCAAAGTCCCCTGAAGTGTGCTGTTTGCTGTCATACATCAGTCTCACTCAGAGACTATCCTAACCTTCCTACCATCATTGCTGGAGGTGTTGCAATATTCCTGTTACCTCATTTTCTGCACATTTCAGTCTCTCTCCCTGGGGACTCTGGAAACAGAATTGACCTAGCATGCTCCAGGCCCGCTCTCCCTCCCTGTGGCTTGTGAGACTTTTTAATTAGAGCAGCAGCAGCAGCTAATCAGGAGTAATTGCCTGTAATCCTGTGTGACAGACACAGACTGGGAGATGCTGAACAGTGTAACCAAACCAAAACACCCTCCTTCCTGCTGCCCTCCCCTGCCTCGCTTTCATACTGAGTATGATACTGCATGGAAATGTCTGAGTAATGGGTAACCCAGCTGGAATGTGCCAGCAGATAAGTGAGGTGAGATAAGAAGAAAAAATGGAGAAGACAGCTCCTTATCACTGGCAGGAATGCCAGCTCAGAGGCACACCTGTGCTCCATTCCCAGGGCCACTGCTTTGCCTGGTATGACTCCTGCTGGAGGGCAAGGCACCTCTTTCCTCCTGCCTGTTTACTGCAAGAGGCCAAGAGGAAAACATCAAACCCATGCCCTGAGGTTCCCAAACCTAACATTTAATTATACGCTTTTGTGGCACTGAATGCCACATTGCTCACGTCATGGGTTTTTTTCCCTCCTTCCCAAAACTTAGGTGCAGGAAGAAATGGTGCATTGTGAAGAGATTACACAACCATTCGCTTGCAATCGCATACTGCCTTCCTCGTCCTGAACCCCACCTACAGCCTGCTTTGCCCTATGTGCCATCTATTCATCCCTACATCCTGGTCTGACCTGGAAAAAGCACCTGGCTTTATCTGGGACCTATTTCCATCCAACACGGGCTCCTTTCCTGTTGGCAGAAAACCTTGCACTTTGTCAACGTCTCACACTAAGCCACAGAGCCAGAGACCTCATGGAAGCCAGTGCAGCTGGAGCAAACAGCCCCACTGCTTGGATCTTTATTAGAGATAGGAAGCGGTGCCCATCAGTCCAGTTTGAAGGATGTGACCCTGAATCCTCCCTTGACACTCATGTAGGTGATCTTGTCATAGCCATGTCGATTAGGGAACTCCACTTCATGCCCATCTGGTAGTTTGACCTGGAATTTGTCTTCCAGGAATTCAATGACGAGCTAGGAGAAGAAAGGGGAGGAAGAGAAGGAATTGGGGACAAGAAGGAGAATAGAAGGTGAGCATCCACTCCAAAGTGGAGTAACATCCTGTTACACAACAAGGTCAGACCTGGTCCTGACAGCCTTAAGCAAGGTGCTAGGGACTGAGCTGAGCTAGCACCTCACACAATGGTGCAGGAAATGAGCGACTAATACTGACGGTCTAAGCTTGTATCTAGACTATGATCTGGGGAGAGGATCTCTCCTGGGGATGTTTCAGCTGTTCAGGTTGTAAAATTAGAACAGTTAAACCTAGGTGCAGCTTCCACTGCATTTTTATACATGAAGTGGCTTAGATCTGCCCTGAATGGGACAGAAAAAACTTCAGACCTGAATGCCTCGGAAGCCTTGCAGCAGCTCACCAGGGCACTCATACTGAACAAGGCCTTGCAAAAGAAACTTCACTGATAAATATGCACAGACAAGATGAAAACTCATTACTGACTACTGCAAATTAAAGGGATCATTCCCCATTGTCATTGCCTCTCCACCCCTTCCCCATGAGCCAGCCACAGCTGAGGAAATGGGATTCCACTCCACAGCAATAGGAAAAGGACTGCTCATAAATGCAGCCCTGTCAACAACCTGGAGCATTAGACAGCATGAGGCAGCAACTTGGACAGCATCCCTGGCAGGAAGAGAGGGGGGTCAGGTTGTCAATGTGGATCCAGGAGTGCTGAGGACGGAAGGGCTGAGGGAGAGTTAGTTGGACCAGAAAGGGCAAGAAGGGTTGTTTGCATTACAAAGCCCCCAACTCTGGGTTGCCTTAAACTTGTATTTGCCTGGGAGGGAATGAGGGAGAGAAATAGGGTGGAGAGCAAGATCCTGCTTCTTGGAGACTCCTTTTACGTTCATACCCACCCCAGGTGTGCTCACTTTCTGAGCTGCATGGGGCAGGAATGAGGAGCAGGAAGTACTAACAAAGCCCAAGAGAGAAAAGGCTCATGCAAAGTTCCCAGAGGAAGCAGTGAGGACTTGAAGGAGGAATGGAAAGGGTGATCAGGACTGAAAACCCAGGAGATGAGGACAAGTGGCTGTTGAGAGGGTGCGGGAGGCTCTAGAGGGCAGCTGGGAGGAAGCGGTATAGAAGAACACGCTAACCAAGGGCTTCCACGCACACGCACAACCCGATGACAGGCTAGCCCTCTCACCTTGATAGAGGAGCCCTTGGAGAAAGAGAAGTGGCTGTCACGATGCTCATTCTGCCAGGCTTTGGAGCACTTGGAGTTGCAGACAATGACAGACTCATTGAAGCGGGGATTGAAGTGCAATGCCAGATCTGAGGAGCTGCGGCCAAGGTTGACGGCGAAGCTGTGGTGAGCAGGAGGAAGGTCAGTGTGTGGGCAAGGCAGGGTCTTGGAAGTATCTGAGATCTGATACACAGCTCTGCCTTCAATTCCTCATTCACCATTGAAGATATTTAACTACTCCTGTTTCCTCATTCTGCTCATGAACTGGGGGAATTAGAATGGGAGTGGTGCACGGACTCCCCTAATACTGAGCTGTGCTGAGGCTCTTTGTACCTGGCAGGCATCCCTGGTGACTTAGAAACCACCCCCCCTGCCTCTGCAACTCACCTTCAGTCCTGGTGAACTGAGGTGATTTCTTCGTACTTACCCATCAGCGTCCTCAGATATCTTGCCCTTGATCTTCAGGCTGTCCCCAGCCTTCAGATCCAGGTTGAAGATTTCAAACACTTCCTAAGACAGAGAGAAAAAAGGGCTGTGGGGCTCCTTCAGTTAATGCAAGTGAGAGCACACTACTTGGAGAAGGTGCCTGAGCCAAGAGAACATTACTGCTCTCAGCAAATGTTCCTCTCATGGTCTAAAACCCCCCATACTGGAGGTCTTGCATGGGCTTCTCGCCCAATGAGGGGAAGAGAGGGCTGAGTAAAGCCAACAGGCAACAAAAGACATGTGAGAGAGAAGAGATGAAAACAGGCTTGTCCACAGCACAGTGAAAGACAGAGCATGACAACAGACAAAGAGGATTAAAGAAGGGGGGTCCAACCCTGGGCTCCCCAAAGTCTTCTTGGCGGGCATCATCACCCACAGCCCAGGAAATGCAAGTGATGAGAACAGAGGTGGCTGAGGCCTGCCCATCCCTCACTCAGCATTGCTGACTACCCACCACCATGAGCTGGGGACCCCAAGGTGACAGAGGAGAGGAGCAGCAGCCCTTACAGACATCTTCCTCAGCAGGGCAGAGCAACCAGGCAGGAAGCCACAGGCAGTTTAGCCCAGAAACTCTTTGTACAGAGGATCTTACATCCCTGAACTTCCTTGTGGCTTACACATTAACAGCACTCCTGCCTCTGCAGGGCAACATTGACTGCTATTAAACCAGGAGACTTTGATCCAAAGAAATAGCTCCCTCACACACAATTCCTTTCACTAGGGACTCAGGGAGATTTAATCAATCCCCAGCCTCACTGGCCCCTCAGTGGACTTCCTGTGGAGGGATCAACACACATAGCCCTTAGTGGTGTTAACCCCAGCCACCACATAGGACAAGTATCATCTCAGCTGGCTATGAAGATGTAACTGTTTTCTTTGTCTAACAGCTCAGTCAATAAAGCATCCCAGCTCCTTCACTTTTTACGGCCTTAGATTCAGCCCCGGCTGTGTGGATTGCACCAGCATTACCTGGGAGCTCTCTACAATCTCCCACCCAAGCACCAGTGAGACCCAAACCTGTTAGCTTCAGGAGCAGCAAGTTCAATAGCACAGTCTACCCTAACCCTAAGAAAAAGGAATGTTGTCTTCATAAAGGAGCATCACTTCATCAATCTTCTTCTGCAGTAAAAGCTACAAGTCAGCAGTGCCCCAGATTTGATTGAAGAAATTGGTGCTCTATTCCCAGACTCCAGAAGTCAGTGGGAAAGCAAGAGGGAGTAGGAAGCCAATGTTAAGGAAGACTAGCAGTCCTTCACTCCCCCCCAGGCCCCATCCCTACAGAGAGCAGCTGGATGCACAGTTATCCTGCTGTTGCACAGCCAGATGGGAGATAGCATCTGCCCTTCCCCCAAAGGCTTCTGAAGCAAGAAGAGATAATAAGTGATGATAAGCACTCCTCACCTGGAGGCGTTTCCTATTAGCAGGGGGTCATAAAGCCCAGCAGGCTTTGGAAATCTATTTGCTGTCAAGGTCACTTAAGATGCTGGTGAACCCCTGTCCAGGCTAAGCTCGCAGGTGGCAGGAGCAGGTGCTGCAGATGGTGGTTTCTGGCACTAGGTCTATTTCCCATTGCGCTGCCATGTCCCACCTGCACACAGGTTCACATCACCTTGCTCCCCCCTAGCCATCCCAGGGGAGAATGCAGCACCAAGAGCTCCGCTCCCAAAATATCTGAGCATCCCACTAGCTCTTTCTTTCCAGCACCTCTCATTTGCAGGGACCAGAATGAGATTCATCCATCTTAGGGCTACAAAGATGATTAGAGGGCTGGAGCACCTCTCCTATGAAGAAAGACTGCAAGAGCTGGGCCTCTTCAGCCTGGAGAAGAGAAGATTGAGAGGCGATCTCATCAACGTGTATAAGTATCTGAGGGGGGAGTGTCAAGAGGATGAGGCCAGCCTCTTCTCCGTGGTGCCCAGCGACAGGACAAGAGGCAACGGGCAGAAACTGAACCACAGGAAGTTCCACCTAAACCTGAGAAAAAACTTCTTCACTGTGAGGGTGACAGAGCATTGGAACAGGTTGCCCAGAGAGGTAGTGGAGTCTCCTTTCCTGAAGATATTCAAAACCCGTCTGGAGGTGATCCTGGGCAATATGCTCTAGGTGACCCTGCTTGAGCAGGGAGGTTGGACTAGATGATCTCCAGAGGTCCCTTCCAACCTAAACCATTCTGTGATTCTGTGATCCAAAGACACTGACCACATAGCCACCACCAGGGTTAATTACCTGAACTTATTTTAAGCCAAGTGGAAACATACACTTCTACAGCTCAAGACATCATGCCCCAAGATAGATCCTAAACTTAGTCAGAAAAATCCTGTCCTACATGGCTGGCTAAGGTCACACAGGAATGTTGTGGCAGAGACAAGGCCTTGGTCTTCAGCCAGTATCGTACTGACTAGAGGAGCCTGCCCCCCACTTCCTACACAGACCAGTGTGGAATGGACCAAAAAAAAAAAACCTCTCAGCAAAAAACTCTCCGCAGGATTTATCAGCTGATCTCATTGACTGGCAGAGTCTGAGGCTGTCCAGGAGAGAAAGCAGCATGTGTCTGAGGGATGGAGAGAATCATTCATGCAGAAAGGGGCCGTGAGATTTTTGCCAAGATAAAATTAACCCCCCTTTCATAAATGCTCAGCAGGGGCGTTCACCCCCTTTTTATTTGCCACTGGGAACAAGGGTGGTAAATCAGGCAGCAGTTCTCCCAGTGATGGCTACTTCCTTCATCTGTGGAGCTGACCCTCTGCATGATCAGAAACCAACTCTGTACAGATGGCCCAGCTCATGCAGGATGTGGGCTCACCCTGTAGGAAGGGTCTGGGACTTTAGCAACCCCAGAAGAGCTGAGATCATCCATACAAGCAGAGCTGGGAAGTTTCACCAGCCCAGCCAGGGACTCTCATGCTGTATTTCCACCTAGCACTCCCTGAAGCCAGCTTGAGCAACACAAACCTGCTTGCCTCCCACCGCACTGGGGTTGGCTGATGCAGTGCGTCATCTCCCAAACTCTTGACGTGCCCATGAGGACTTAGTTACAGTCAAAGGGCAAATGGGATGAGATGACAGGAGGGAGTAGGGGGCAAGTTGATATTCCCACACACACAATCCAAAGCAAAAAGCTCTAGGAAATTGTGATGTGGTAGGAATGTACACCCCAAAAACAGAGGAAACTTGGCTAAAGGACACCTGCAAAGGAGGTGGAGGGTCTGTGAAGGGAGGAAAACACAGGGATGTGGAAGCTTTGAGGCTCCTCAGGAAGGGCTTATACAGGCAGTCTTGCTGGCATCCTGATGGGGTGGTCACTGGTGCAGGGGACCCAGGAATCCTTCATCCCCAGAGAGATGGATAAGAGGGCACCTGCCAGGGAGCACCTGTCCAGGATCCCCTATAGGTTTATCCTAGCTGGAGGATAGCTGGCCTATACTGGTGTTGGACACCTGCGTTCACATTGCTGGAGCCAGAGGAGCCCGTGCTGTGTTCTCAGAGGAGCCCGTGCTGTGTTCTCAGAGGGCTGCCTTGGAATAGCAGAGATGTGACAAGCAGTCACTGGTGAAAAGGTAGGGGCCATGCCTGACCCAAGGGCAAGCTCAGCTTCCACTAGGGACCAGGTCTGCAATTTCACACAAGGGAAACAGAATACTCATACGGGGTAGGGCAGCACCTGTTTAAGGAGGGAAGAGACCAACCCAACTGTGTGGGCCTTCAGCCATGGGGGATAGAAGGGTGGCAGGGCAGGACCTCTGCAGAGTGACTGTGGGGCTCACACCTCCTCCCCTCTGCCTGGGGACCCTTGAGTCTCAGTGCTCAGAGGGGTCTCTGCCTGATGTGGGGAGCAGAGCAGGACAGTCACTAAAATACTGCCAGTGTTTTAGAGCGCATATGGAGAAATCACGGTGCTGTGGTGAAGAGAGGAAGAGAGCAGCCAATTATGAGGTAGCAAGGGAAGAGTTTGGGACAGAAGGGGAAGAGAATGATGCTTTCACTGCATGAAACATGGTAACTTCATTTGCCTAGGTCTCATAAGACAGATGTTGGGGTTAACAGTCTTTCCTGGCCTTCCTCTGTTCCTGGGGATCTCAGGCCACCAAGAGCATCCACGAGAGCTCAAGACCATTGGAGTGGCTCCAGACAGCAGCACCTCATGTAGTACTGCTTGCAGCAGCAACTGCTACCAGCTGGCACCCACACTGTTTTTGAGGAGAGACTGAATGCTACCCTCCCAGGCAGGCTGCCAAGATCCTTGAAGGCATCATTGCTGCCAGCAGTATTATTTTGTTTCCTTGCTCGGGCAAGAGATAAGACAGTTAGGTGTGCAGCCTTGAAAAAAATGACAGGTTTCCCAATTTCCTGGCCAGTGCAGCACAACCGCCCCACCGAGAGCTTTCACAGGGCCTTTTGCGGTGAGGGGTGCACCCTAAAATCCACACCAGCACATCCAACAGGCAGCACTGTCCCCACCCCACCCTCCCCACAGCCTCAGGACTTAGAGGAGAGGGCAGCCAACACTCTAGAGGATACAAGTTATAAACAGTCCCTCACAGTAGTGACATGAATTGTCATGCATTAGACATGGTGTTCAGCCCAGATTCCAAAGAAATAAAGGTAAGGTGATCGCGCTGGATGTGGGAATGTGTGCACTACTGTCTTATGTCAAACCAAGCCCTGAGAGAAAAGGCAAGAGATCTCCTCATGCTCTCACGAAAGGCCGTAGTTTCAGCTCAACACTAATTAGACACCAAAGAATCAGCACCAGAGAAAGATGCTATGGGGGAAAAGCTTCTGTCCAATTTTGCACTCAAGGCACCAGAGAGTCTGTGCTGTGGACCAGGCCTTAGTGTCTATTCAAGGCAAAAAGAGCTGCAGAGACCATGCATTCTTTCTCGGAGTAGCAGCTGTTCACTCTGCTATTATTTCCTACTGCTTCATATAATTTGTACTCCACAGCAAGCTATTGTCCCTTTCCACTGGCTATTTATTTCCTTGAATAGCCTCTGGGGAAGAATTTCAGTGTAAGAGTAAAGAAAAAAGAAAAACTCTACATAATAAATATCGAGCAGTGACCTGATTTAAACCATGTTCTCTGGCCTCATCTAGGACCCCGATAAGTTCCTCCCTGTAATTCTGAAAATAAGCCACATTTCTGCCTCAGTTTCCCCCTGCTATGAAGCCTGGCTGGGAATGCCCCCCCTGCCTTGGAGGGATGCAGGGTGCCTTTCAAGAAGCTGAGTCCTAGATTTTTTCAGAGACCCTGGGAGTACACAGCTTTTCTGAAAACAAGTGGGGAACATCAGCCCCTCTGAACAGTAGGTCCTACCACTGCACCCAGATCCTTGTACAAACTCCTCCATCACATGACGGAGAACAGGCTTTGCATCACCTCCTGATGTCAGTGCTTAGTTCTCTACCTGCTATTCACAAAGATTCCCTGATAGGTTTAATATGACCAGTTTCCCCTTTGTTTGAGAGGTGTTGGTTTGCCTCTCATCAAATAATACTTCAACCGTCACCCCAACCTATCCCTAGACTCTGAAAGCCAGCCAGCTTCCTAACAGAGGAGGA